TTATAACAGAAATAGAGACATTTTTACAAGAAGATTCTATTTTTCGAGTAATTATTTTATATTTATTTTGATAAGATTATTAAGATTCTTACTTTTCATTAATCTTTAAACAAATAATCATAAATATCTCACATTAAGACAAGAAAATAAAGAAGAAAAAGATTTATTTAAAAGTACAGACATTATTATATTTGTTATGTGGTTTATTGAACCATGAATAACAAAATAATAAATAATCAAAAAAAACAAATTATTTATAAGATATTTGAAATAATAAAATAAAGAATAAAAGAAGAACATATTAATAATCTTCTTTTTTATTATTCCATTATTTACTCTACTGATGTATTTGACATTATTATCAATTAACAATGTAGGTTTACAACAGTAATGAATAAAACAGTTCTTTTTTGGTTTTTTATTCTAATTATTTTAATAATATTTTTATTATAAAATAAACTATATTCAGGGTTTTTTTATTTTTAAAAAATTAAAAGACAAAAAAAAATTATTTAAATTTATAAACAAAATGTCACTCCCACCATCATTTACTTCACTTCTTAATAGTCAAAAAAAGGTTATTTCAGGTGTTGCTAATGATAATGAAAGCTTATTAAAATATTTCAATTCAGTTTCTGAATTTCTTGCTGATTGTAATGTTCCTTCTTATGAAACTTTTGCTTCAATTGAATCTTTTAAGATTGAACCTACAGCACAAAAAGCAAATTCAGTTTTAATTTCATTGTGCTCATTATTTATTGTTACCAGAAAAGTCTTTACAATGAAAGATTTTGTATTATCAAAAGCCCTTAGATTCCCAATGGGTCTCCAATTTGAAGAACTTCAATCATATATGAAGGCTACTGATATTTTAAAAACAGCAGATGAGCCTGTAATTGATTTTTACAATGCATTTATTGGAAATAATGCTGAGGAATTAATTACTTGTTATAAAGAAATTAAAGATGTAAATGAAAAATGTACAAAAAGTTATATAAAAGAAGCTATTATTATTCGTATATTCCAAATTCTTGTTGAAAAGAAGACTATTAGCCTTGTTGATATTAAAAAAATGCTTGATTTTGTTCCATGGTTCATTGTTGAGATTACACTCTTAAAAAGAGCAAGTGATTTAGAGTTTAAAGTTAAGATTGATCTTTCAAGTGGAAAGATTTTTATTGAAAAAGTAGAAGATAAGAAGATAGAAGGGTGTGAAATTACAAATGAGATTATTGAATCTGAAAAGACAATTATTAACAATAAAACAAAAGCATTCAATGAAAAAATAGCTGCAATTGAATATCAACGAGAAAAGAAGAGATTAGAAGAAGAGGCAAGGAGACGAGAAGAAGAAGAAGACGCACGACTTGAAAGAGAATATTTAGAGAAAAAGAAAAGAGAAGAAGAAGAAGAAAAAGCAAGAAAGAAGGAAGAAATGAGAAAAATTAAAGCAGACTCTGCTGCTGAAATGCAAAAATTGTATAGAATTCAAGAAAAGGTTAGAATTAAAGAAGAAAAAGATAAACAAATGAAGAACTTATTTGAAAGATATTTCTATCATGAAAGAGCACGAAGAATGGTTGAAAGAAACTTTACTGATAGAAAAGTTGAAGAAGAGGCTGAAGAGATAAGAGAGATGTATAGATTAGTTTGTGAATCTAAACAAGAAATGAAAAAAGCTGAGCATGAAAGAAAAGTTGCAATGAAAAAGAAATTTACTAATCCAAATGCACTCCAAACTTGGTTAGATTCAATTGGAAAAGGAGAGAGTGAAGAAGAAAAGATGGCTAAAATTGAAAAAGCAAGAAAAGAAAAAGAAGAAGCAGAAAGAATTGCTCGTGAAAAAGCTGAAGAAGAAAGAAAGGCTAAATTACTTGAAGAACAAAGAAAACGTGAAGAAGAAAAGAAGAGACAAGAAGAAGAGGCATTTAAAAGAAATCAAGAAAGAATTGAAAAACAACAATCTTCTGATGAAGTTTATAGACCAAAAATGTTACATAACCTAAAAGAAGATAAGGATGGATGGATGTCAGCTAGAAAAGACCAAAGACCTTCTAATTCTGGTGTTCCTTCCTTTGTAGGAGGCTCTTCAAGAAGCCAACAACAAAGGGGTAATGGTTCTTCAGATACTTATACTCCACCAAGAACTGGAGGAAGTGGTTATAATAATTCAGCATATCAACAAAGACCTGGTGCAAGTTCTTCAGTTGCTTCATTCACACCAAAAAGAAGTAGTGGATATTCTAATTCTGGAGCCTCATTTAATAACAGAGGACCAAGAACTAATGGAGGTTCAAGTTCAGTTGCTTCATTTACCAGTGGCGGGTCAAGAGGTGGTTATAGAAAGCATTAATAATTTACCTATTTTGTGTTATACTTTAAGAGAAATTGTGTAAATAAGAAGAAAAAAAATATAAAAAGAAAAAAAGTAAAAATTTTGAAATAAATTATTACAATCATTCATTGTTTTCGTTGTTTACTTGACCTTGTCATTGAAGAAGAAGTTGATGACTTTTTTGAACGAATATAATTAGCAATAAAATCTCCAACTTCAATAGTAGTTTTTGTTCCACCAATATCAATGGTGGTAATTTTTTGTAAGATACTAGATTGAATTGCCTCTTCAATTAATACACTTTCCTCACTATACCCAAGAAATTCTAACATCATTGAACTTGCTCTCATAGTTCCTATAGGATCACAAATTCCTTTACCAGCAATATCTAATGCACTTCCATGAACAGGTTCAAATAATGAAGGAAATGTACGTTCTGGGTTAATATTTGCACTAGGAGCAATTCCCATTGAACCAGCAACAGTAACAGTTAAGTCACTTATAATATCACAAAATAAATTACTTCCAACAATAACATCAAACTTACTTGGATTCTTTACTATTTCAGCACTTAAAGCATCCATATAATATTTTTCTGCTGTAACATCAGGATATTCCATTGCAATTGCTTCAAATACACTATCCCATAATACCATTCCAAATTTCATTGCATTTGATTTAGTAGCTAATGTCACATGATTCCTTCGTTTTCTAGATGCTTCAAAAGCATATCGTATCACTCTTTCTAATCCTCTTCTTGAATGAACAGCACTTTCAATTGCAAATTCCTCAGGAGTTCCACTTTTAAATATTCCACCAATATTTGAATACTCTCCTTCTGAATTTTCTCTTACAACTAAAACATCAATTTCACATTTTTTTAAAGGTGTTGGAATTCCTGGAAAATGTTTTGCTGGACGAAGACATAAAAATTGGTCTAGTTGTTGTCTCATTTGAATTAATGGTTCAAGAGTAACATAATCAGGTAATGTTCTTGGGTCTCCTAATGATCCTAATAAGATAGCGTCATATTGTTTGACTTGATCAATATAATCTATTGGAACTACTTTCCCTGTTTTTAAGTAATGTTGAATTCCCCAATCTACATAATCTCTTTGAATAGGAAGGTTAAGGGATTGAAACATTTTTTCTGCTTCATTCATGACTTCAGCACCAATACCGTCTCCAGGAATTACAATGATTTTATGTTGATATGTGACATCTTTCTCACAAGCCATAACACCTTTTATTTTTATGTTTTAGTTCTTTTTATTGTTTTTTTATTTTAATTTTTGTAAATGCGTTATATATAACTTAAAATAATATAACAAAAATAAATTTTGGTTATTCTGATACAATTGATGCAGTATAAGTTTGCCAATGAACTGATGGGTCATTAAATACATCAACAGTGCGACTAATACCAGCTTTTGAATAAGCACAATGACTACAAAATGTTTTAGTATCCCATCCTTGTTCAGTTGCTACTTGTGGAAGATAAGTACCACGGCAATATCCTTTTTCAACAACAATTCCATGTTTTCCAGCAATAACATTTTGTAAAGGATTTGTTATATCTTTTGGTACAGACAAACAACTAACGCTAATTGTTGTTTGGTCAAATTCATTAATTTTCATTCTATTAAACCTATGATCATTACACGAAGCAATGGCATATTGTTGAACTAATTCATAAAGTGGTTTTGATGGACTAAAACAACCAATACACCCTCTTAATTCATTTTTGATTTTATAAGTAACAAAAACACCACCAGGGACAAATGACAATCCAGATTTATTTCCAATAGAACTATAGTCTTGTTGTTTCATTCTCATAATTTCATTTCTTCCACTTTCTCGTGCAATTTGTAAGATAATTTTCTTTTGTTCAGAGCTAAATTCAATATCACTCATTGATGATTTTAAGATAAAATGAAAAATTAAGATAATTTTTAAATTAAAAAAATTATTGTTATATATAACTATAATTATTAATGTAGGAAAAAAAATACGTATCAACAAAAAACTCAACACTTTTGTAACAGAGTGAAATATAAATAGCGTAGGGTTGAATGGAACATTTAAAAAAGAAAAAGAGATGTCATTAAGTGATAAACATGTTTTATTTTGTTTAGGTGGACCAGGAGCTGGAAAAGGAACACAATGTCAAAAAATTATAAATAAATATCCAATTACTCATTTAAGTGCAGGTGATTTGTTAAGAGCGGAGGTTAAACGGGAAGGTTCTCAAAATGGACAATTAATTCAAACATTAATTAAAGAAGGAAAAATCGTTCCTGCAGCAGTTACTGTTGAATTATTACTTAATGCTATTCGTAATGATGAACATAAAGTTTTTATTATTGATGGATTTCCTAGAAATGCTGAAAATAAAGAAGCATGGTTCTTACAAGCTAATAAAGTTAATATTGATACTGCCCTTTGTGTATTTATTGATGTTTCTGAAGAGACAATGATTAATAGAATTCATAAAAGATCAGTTAATAGTGGAAGAGTTGATGACAATGATGATTCATTAATGAAAAGATTTAGAACTTATAAATCAGAAACACTTCCTGTGATTGAATCTTTTGAAAATGAAAATAAATTACTTAGAGTTTCTGGAGAAGGTAGTGTGGATGATATTTTTAACAAGATTGATTCTTCTTTAGCTAAATTCTTTGATGATAATCATATCTTGTTGTGAACAGGTTTGATGATTCAATATCATTCTTAATTAAATCTTCTAATTAATTTGTTCATAAAATAAATTTTTTGTATCAATTGATATCTTTGTATTATTTCTTTTTGTTCTATTTATAAAGGTATTTTTTGTTTATTTTTTTGTCTAAAATATATTATTAAAAT